GAAGATACTTGGTTAAATAATAGTTAGCTATAAATATAATAGCACTTTTGTGATTCGCTCCTGGTTTAAATTGTGCAAAATAAAAATGAAAATGCATAATTTCATCAGGAAGCAGCAAAGTCGAATGATATTATGGCAGCTCCAAAACTCTTTTACCCCAGATTTTAGAACAAAATTGAATGTTTTATGAGAGCTATGTAGGTATATAATATATTTTATGGAATAAGTATCATAATGTACCCTAAAATTCTACGGTCGTATTCGTTTACTTCAAGTTGATAGAATGTTATAGATGTCTTGTTAGTGTAAAAAGAAGCCATCTCCATTGTTTGGAGGTAACTTGACCTCTTGAATAAGATGAAAAAAGAGACGACAGTATAAAGAGTAGGTGGTCCAGGTTATATGGCAGCTCTGGGTAGAATCAGGAAATCGGTGCCATCAAGTTTCTTACCATGTCACCCACCATACCATCCTGAAATGATGGTGTGTTTCATTGGATGCCCATCATCATGCTGTGTCTTCTGATCATTTTCAGACACTACAAACAGGCGTACGTGCATCTGCAAGAGCTGCGTATCACCGACTATAATCTACTGGAGATTAAAACGATCGCTGGCTTCGTGAATTACAAGGTGATCCGACAACAGCGAAACAAATACGTTGAGATGTGCGCTGTACACTCGTCCCGAGTAGACTGGCTTTCTATCGAATCGTGAAATTACCACGAACATTCTCATCCGACTCGAGCAGAGATCTGTTTGTCGTTGAGCAATTTAATGGAACCTAGGTGAATCTCATCGCTTCTGCTCCTGTTTTCTGCGTGTAGGTTTGCAAGCTGTGTTTCCAGCACACCACACCCTTAGACGCCATAGCTCAGTTCAGAAGACACGTCGACATTTACAAGGCAAAGATTGGCACGGCGGAACTATCATTCGAGCAGAGCGCATGGATGTCAAAACAGTGAGTATCCCGAGTTCAATGTTTAGAGCTGACAAATTGTTCTCTCTCAATCTAAGCATTCAGTGATTGAGAATGACAGTGATATTGACAGTGATTGAGAATGACAGTGATATTGACAGTGATTGAGAATGACAGTGATATTGACAGTGATTGAGAATGACAGTGATATTGACAGTGAATGAGAATGAGTGATCGGTGATAGAAGAAAATTGTATTTTTCTGCAAAAACTGGTTTTTTCGTGTTTTGATTGTCGATACAACGAATGATTTTTGAACCATTTTGCGGTATGTTTCCACAGTAGTAAGCATAAAAATACTCATATTATGAGGGTAGAAAATTAGTTTGTATAGTCATAATGTGAACTGTCATACTCATAAAGAACATTGGACATGAAAATCTACTTTTCATTCAACATTTTTATCACTTTACAGTTCATCAGCAAAAACACGTCCTTTGAGAAAAAATGGAGGCTTTACTTAAAAGGAACACTTTGTTATGAAGCAGTTAAACACGCGTTTAGAGCAATACTGTTTGTGCCGTGCCCTGTGAGTGCTGCTTGTCGTGTAGGTTTGCTGTGTTTGGGGACTTGTTTGAGGAGGCAATCACGGTAGGTCTGACGGCCATACAGACCCAGCACCCTGGCTTTTACTACCAGGAAGCAGCCGGTCATGCCGTGGCCAGGAAGAAGCTGTGCCGTGGTTTATGTATGGTGAGTTCAGTATGTTATCAAATCCCCCGGCCTCTCTTTTTCCTTTTAGTCTTGCCCGATCCTCTCTCCTCCTCTCTTCCTTCTTGTCTCTCTCTCTCTCTCTCTTCATTCTTTTCGCTTCTCTTCTCGTCTCTCGTCTCTCTCCCTTCGGTCGTCTCTCGTCTCTCTCCTCTCCTGGTCTCTTCTCTCTCTCGTCTCTCGTCTCTCCTCTCTCTCCGTTCTCGCTTTCTTTCTGCCTTTCTGTTTTCTCTCTCTCTATCTCTCTGCTTGCTTTTCTCATCTCTCTCTTGCTTTTCTCTCTCTCTTCTCTGTCTCTCTCGTCGTCGTCTCTGTGTTGGGGTGTGTGTGTGTGCGGGCGTGCTGCGGTGGCGTGGTCGCCGCCGATTGCCCCTTGTCGTTCGCGGTCGTGCGTGCCATCCCGGCTCTGTGCGTTGCGACTGCGTCGCGTGCGTCGCTGCGTTGCGAGGCTCCGGGTGGGGCTGCGCTAGGCCATGGCCGGCGCGTGCGTGCCGTGACCCGTGGCCGCACATCTACGGGCCGTGCCGTGCGTGCTCGCTGTCGTGCGTGCTGTGCCGCCCGGTTCGTCCTTCCACCCCCTACGCTCGCTTCCGTGTGTGTCGTGTTGCCTCCGTGTGTGTGTATGTGGTATGTGTATGTGTGTGGTCGATGCGAAGTGCGTGGCTCTTCGCTCTCTCTCTCTCTCTTTTCCTCTCTCTCTCTCTCTCTTCTCTGGCCGCACTCTCTCTCGGTTGTCTTTCTTCCTTTCTGTCTCTCTCCTCTCTCCCTCTCTCTCTTGCTGTTCTCTCTTCTCTACTCTCCTCTGCTCTCTCTCTCTCTCTTTCCTTTTCTGTCTCTCTCTCTTCTCTCTCTCTCTCTCTCTCTCTCTCTCTCGTCCTGCTCTCTGCTTCTCTTTCTCTATTCGCTCTCTCCTCTCTTGCGCTCCTCTCTCTCTTTCTCTCTCTCTCTCTCTTTCTTTCTCTTTCAGCACATGTCTCACTCTTCGCTCCTCTCTTATGATCTGTCACACTCGTTCTCTTTTTCTCATTCCCTCCCTATCCCCTCTCACCCGCCTTCTTCATGCTATCTCTCTCTCTCGATCTGTCACTTCCTGCCTCTTTCCTGATGTTTTGCTCACTCAGTCTGTCTCATCATTTCCTGCTTTCCTCCATTGCTTTATTCTTTTCTTTTCTTTTCTCTCACCCCTTTACTTGCAATTGCTATCTTTTACCTGTCACTTTATATTGTTCTTACAACTATCTAAACAGCACTCTCAGAGATATCTGAATGACATGTGAGAATATGCCACGCTGTCCATATGGTCGATCCTGCATCGTGATGTCACTAATTTAATCTTCGATGTTTAGGGGGAACACGCATACCCATCGCCCGATCCACTAGAAAGTGTTGATCAGTTGGAATATTACGGTCAGAGACCATGGAGGCAAGGGCAACAAAGTAAGATTTACAGCAGAGACATCAGTAACGAGTCAACCTAAGACTTTTATTGACTCTGTGGAAATATCGAATTGTCTGCTTTGTGTGCTACAATGTCGATGTCTCATATCCTCTAATTGTACTATCTAGTTCATACATAACCTTCAGGTGTCATACTATAAGTGTAAATAGAGTAAATGACTGATTGATTCTGTCTAGTCTTTGTGATGGTACTGTGCTCTTTCTGTACTGTACTAGAAGCCAGACACTGCTGGAGGTTTGCTATATATCCACTGTGACGTAACACTTGCTCGCCCATAACTTAGGCTCCCAGGTTGGCCAGTAGCAGTCACCTGATATACTTGATCAGCCGATTATATTACACTATAGCATGACACGTTTGCGAGCATAATGAATTTTCACCACCATGCCTGTGGACAGTGGCCTAGAATGTGTGAAGATGAACTAATGGCTTACTTACCTGCGCGTAGGTCTGGAGCCTGGCAATATGCAGAAAGAGAGAGAAGCTATCCTGGCCTTGCAGCACAGGGAGGCACAGGTGGACCACTCCTGGCTAGTGATTCCGCTCCTCAGTTCAGCTGTCGGCCAGTTCAAGAAGTACAAGTCAGCAAGGATGAAGCGATACCTAGGTCAGCTACTGCTAACATGTAGCTTAGCTATAATGCCGGTTGATAGGTTTCATTTATTTAATTATTTCTTATTTAATTTAGTGTTGCATGCTCAGTCTTGAAAATAAGTTTGGATACTCAGCCAGGTCTCATTTCAGTACTTTTGGTTGCTAACCAATAGAAGAATCTATGAGATAATTACCCAGTCCTGCTCAGTAGTTACCAGTCTCTTACGGGGAGACTATAGCTGCTACTTCCAACACTGGCATCCTATGATTAATATCGTATAAAGACGTATAATATCGTATAATATCGTATTGTTTCCTATACCACCTGATGGATTTGCTCTAATTTTGTTAAATTTGCTGGTTGATACAGTGATGAACTGTTTAGTGTTACACACACTTATTGTTTGTAGATGAGAGCCAATGACAAGCTGCACGTTGGTAGGTCACAGTGTTAAATTTAACAGCACCTTTCGATAGATCTTTGCATTTGTATGATTTACACAAGTTTTTCGCTGTGCTTTTCTTTTGCAGTCGTGCAGATGGGAGAGGAGTACTATCATGCCAAAGACTATAGCAAGGCTCTCACGTGAGTCCTGCTCTCTCTCGCTATCTCTATCTCTAACAGCAAACAGACACACCGCCGCTGCCCTGTGCTTATTTTTTTTAAATATTTTTTATCCTTTGAGTACTAAAATATATACTGGTAGTGGTAGTAATGTTAAAGTAACACCTGCACAATGGCTGGAACAATGTGGATCTCCTGTTCCAGGGTCTTGTGTAGGATTCGGTGCTGAGCTTTTTACTTTGCATTTTTCTTCCTGCTGAGAGGGACTACTGATGCTTGACGTGGTATGATGAATGCATCATTACGTTTGGCCAAGCTTTGATGGAGTTATTCATGTTGCAGGCTGCTGGGAAGAGTGATGTGGGACTACAGGATTGAGCGTTGGTGGCGCCTCCTCACACACATTCTACAGATTGCCCTCAGGTAACTCTCTCTTTCTCTCTTTCTGTTTCTTTCCTTTTATTTCTCTCTCTCTCCCTCTCTCCCCTCTCCTTCCCTGTCACCCTCTCTCCTTTCTTTACTTCCGCTCTCTTTCTCTCTTCCTCACTCACCCTCCCTCTCTCTTCCTCACTCTTCCTCTCCCACCTCTCTCTCTCTCTCTCTCTCTCTCTC